AGGAGCTCTCGCCTTGCCTGCGTTTCTTTGGAGGGGGAGCAGTAGTGGAGGATTTCCCCACCCTTTTTCCTTTAGCGGCATCGTCAGGAGCCATAGCAACCTGAGCCGCCAGCCCAGCGTCGCACGCTGGGGCTAGCGCTCGAACTTCTCAGGCACTGGAAAGTGCGCCCCAGGCAGCGTGGGGCGCTGGCCTGGGCGCTCGCATCGGACATTTTTTTAAAAAAAAATCTCGACTATCCGAGCACTCGATATATACATTACACACATTCTACACAAAAAATATTTGGGTTGCCTCCCAACGAGCGCCTAATTTAACGTCGTGGCATGACTCAACACATGTTTAAGCATCAATTAAGTCCACTGAGGTCTTGTGACGTGCAATGTCACCACCCCAATAATGTTTTATTCTCTGGCCATTTACCAAGAAGGTACCACTTGAGCTCTTATCACGTAGTTCCATCGCTCCGTGAGGCCTCACATTTATCACAACAAAAGGACCTGCCCAACGGGACTTGAGCTTTCCAGGGAATAGTTTCAACCTTGAATTGAATAACAGAACTTCTTGACCCAGCTCAAACTCTCGATGTTGAATGTGTTTGTCATGCCACCTCTTCATCTTTTCTTTATATAATTTGGCATTTTCATATGCATACAATTGAAACTCATCAAGCTCGTTGAGCTGCAACAACCTATTCTCACCAGCTGAGTCCATATCCATATTTAGCTTTTTGATCGCCCAATAAGCTTTATGTTCAAGCTCGACTGGCAAGTGACATGCCTTCCCATAAACTAACATGTACGGAGAAGTACCTATGGGAGTCTTGTATGCAGTTCGATATGCCCATAATGCATCGTCCAGCTTTCCTGCCCAGTCTTTTCTATTTCCACTTACTGTTTCCTCCAGAATCTGCTTTACCTCTCTGTTTGAAACTTCTACTTGACCACTCGTTTGGGGGTGATAGGCAATGGAAACTTTGTGCTTAACTCCATGTTTTGCAAGAACATTATTCAGCAATTTGTTACAAAAGTGAGTTCCTCC